TTCTAAATGAGCAAACTGAAGCATCTGGGCATTAAGTAAAAGGGCCCCACACTTTGAGCCTTGCAGCAGCTGACTTGAGAAGAAGAGCCATGGGGCCTGTTCCTTCAGCCACCCCTGCCTCTCTCAAGGACTTGACTTTTGACCAGAAGGGACTGGAAGGGACTGGAAGGGACATTGGAATCCTGCTTCTCCCGGTGCACTGTTTTCACTGGGCTTGTGAAGGTTGTACATTCACTCACATACTCTTTACTGAGCACTTACTATGTGCCATTCTCGGTTCTTGGGCTACAGAGAAGGACAGGGCAGGTGCCCGCTCCCAATGCACCTGCCTTCCAGGGAGCCACACAGTTCATAAAAGTGCATAAATCAGTTCTACAACATAATTCTGGGGGTGTTTCCTGCTCTCAGAGAAATAAAATAGCATGGGTTGGTGGAGAAGGACTGACAGGGAGGGGATAACTCAGAAGACCCCTCTAAGAGGCAGCTGGAGAGGAGATCTGACCCCTGAGACGTAGCCAGTCATGTGGAAGTCAGAGGGAAGAGGGTTCTGGTGAAAAGGAACAGCAACCATAAACACCAAGGCACGCGAGGGAGGCAGAGTGAGCAGACAGGAAGCCAGTGCGGCTGGAACAGAGAGAACAAGGAGAAGGTGGTAGGAGAGGAGGTCAGAGCCTGCTGGGCCACTTGTCCGAGGATGCTGGGAGGTGGAAGCAGGACTGAGATTCGGCCTGGGGGCTCCAGGCTCACAGTTTTTATGGGTCTGTGTCAACTATGCGGTGCAGACCCTTCTGTCGTGTTGAGTCTCCAGGTCAGATACAGGAGGACCCTGGCCACGCTGTGCTTACACTCAGCACCTGGCAAGGGACAGGGCTCCAAGGCCAAGGGAGCCCCCAGGACCAGCCAGCACGGAGATGGAAAGTGGGCCCCTCATTCCCTTTAGGCACCGTGACTCATACAAGGTTAGTCAGTCATGAACCAGCCCTGCCAGCCCAGAGAAAGGGCTCAAGAGAGCCTAAGGCTAATTTTTTAAATCATTATTATTAATTTTTAATCACACAAGAACTCACGAATACATTTCCCTTATTTTAAAAACATGAAATGAAACATGGTCCCTAAGTCCAGTGTCCCCCTAAGCCACCTCTCCCCCAATCCTGGCCATCTGTCGGTGCCCCACGTCTTTCTCACCTGGAGCTAAATACTGTCATTATTCCAGACCACATCTTATGCCCTAACATGCACTCCTAGGGAAGATAGTGGGCTTTCTACATGTTTGTCTTAATCATTTGTGGCGTACTGTAGGTATGGGTCTGCAGCTTGCCCTCGCCCCCACGGGACACTAGGTCTTGAGCAGGTTATGACATCATCAGCACCCACCTCATTTGGCTAGTTGCTGTGTGCCATTCCTTAGGACGATATGCCACTGTTCAGCTCCCTCTGCAGTGTCATTTATATTGTTTCCAATTCTCTTTGTATCACAAATACAATCCCGCTGCAATGAAACTTCCTCTCTGCCCACCTTGTGAGGATTTCTCTATGGTGGAAGGAGGCCTCGACTCTTAGATGCAATTCCCAAATGGAAGCAGAATGGGTCCTGGTAATTTCTAAGCATCTAGTGATCCTCTAGACGCCAGAGGCCTTGCCTTACGGTTACTGCCCAAATCCCACAATGCCACTGGGGCTCTGTAGAAGGAGGGACTTCTTTTCGATGAGCTCTAATGTTAGCACAGCAAGGGCAACCCAAAACTCGCCGATGCTGGGGAGTCAACTGTGGGATTCTCTCATAAATAGAGGCTTGCTGCCTTTTCTGGGGTTATGAGGTGCTTACAGGAGGCCTGTGGATTGCAAAGTCAGGCCAAGCAGCGCAGTGCACGTTAATGGTGTTCCTGGGGAAATGACGAGCACACACATACCGCAGCCTTCTGCTTGCCCTTTGCCATGGCCTTCCTGGGCATCAGAGTATAGGATGTTACCTTCTGCAAATTCTGTGTAAATAACTGAGCTCGAATGGCTAATTTGTAATGAGATGAGGGAAAAATAATCATCACCTACTTTGCATAGACTTTCACTCACAAAGCACGCAGTTTCTCATTGCATTCCTGGAACAACCCTGAGGTACACACAGGAAAGGGATAATTATAATATGTATTATAATAATGTTTAAAGGCAACTGTTATTCATTACAGCTGAGTAGATTCAGACAAGAATTAATTGGTCGCCCAAGGTCGCATAGCTAGGAAGTGAGGGCAAACCCGAAACTCAAGTCCTCCGATTGCCGATGCTTTTCTCTTGCACAGGACAGCGCTGTACGGTCCAGCTGTGCCACCATGAAGACCCACTTGTAATTCTTAATACCTATGAGAGAGGGGCGCCCTCGGCAGATTCTAAAGGATATATTGGAAGACCATATTCTGAGATAGAAGTTAGGTCTTAAAGAGCCAAGTGAATAAAGAGGGAAGCCAGCCAATTCAGGGTAGGAGGGCATGGGAGTTAATTTAACTGAACTCTGAGATGAGTAAGTCCGTGTTGTCTGAGAGGTTTTCACTCCACCCATTAATTAAAGATTCTCAGGATACTTTAGCTAGCTGGTCATGCAAGGCCTCTCTAGGGAGGCAGCTATTAAGCGAAGACCTAAAGGAAGACGAGCTTCCAGCTTTGCAAAGAAACAGGGGAAGAGCAAAGCAGGTGTAGGGACCAGCATGTGCAAAGTTCCAAGATGGACAAACTCACCGCAAGGACAGGGACTCCCTCTGTGTAGGGAGCCAAAAGGAGGGGTGGGTAGGAGATAATGACTGGCCCGGGCAGTCAGGGCTAGAGGAGCTCAGAGGATGGTTTCCAGGAGAAGACAGGACTTGAGGGCATCGTGAGGAAATGATTGGCATTATTAAAGGAAGGCAGAGCAGGGAGGTTGCTACAAAGCAGTACTGTAGGCAGAAGAGAGATGATTGGTGAATAATGAGTAAGGCAAAGTCCCTTAATCTGTAAAATGGAAGAGTAGGTTAGAAGGCTCACTGACATCCCTTTTAGATCCCAATAAGAAAACTGAGCCCAGGGAAGCTTGACCAAGGGAACAGCAGGGCTGAGTCCAGCTCCCAGATCTCCCAGATTCCCATCCGGAGCTGGCTCCACCCCAGCTCCTGGCTTCTGCTGGCAGGGCGACTATCAGGAAGGAGGCTCGGGCTGTGGTCGGATGTGAGTACGGGGCCACAGCAGAACCCTGTGGTGGGACCGTCTGCCCAGAGCTCCCCACAGTCAGCACTGCAGCCCCCAGTGCTCTGATCTCAAAGCCAGTTCCTTTGTTCCCTGCCCCCCAGAAGCTTCCCAAAGACCTCAGGAACCCCTTTGATTTTTTTTTTTTAAACATTTCTGCACAAAACAATGTAAGCAACAAGAAGAAAAGCATGGCTCTATCACCAAACTGTTTGGGCCAGAAAAACAGGCCTATGTCCTGCCAATTCCACCCCAGTTTGGGAGCTCCCCCAGGGAGGAAAGAGGAACAGAACTGGAGTCAGGGAGCACCACGCAAAGCACCATTTCCTGGTGGGAAGTCTAGTCTTTGCTCAGGGCCTGGGGCTCAGCCACAAACTAGTGGTGCCCCTGGGGGATCAAAGGGCTCTGCATCAGCCTGGAACATGGTCAGATCTTCTGCCAAACTCCAACCACAACACACCCAGAAGCTGAGAACCAAGAACTCTAGTAGGGCATTCCCATCCCAGGTTCCTTCATCTTGAGAATGTGGTCTTGACCATCTGCACCCCACTCAACTCTTCCACAAAGAAGCCTTTAGACTTATCACCTGCATCTGGTTCTGCTTCCCACTGGACCTGTGATTTTCTCTTTTTTCACTTAGTTCTGTACCCTCTCCTTCCCCACGGACCTATGCCAAATCAGGATGGCTGTTCCTTCTTCTTCAGCTGATCTCAAATGTCACCTGGAGAGAGAGACACCCATCTTTTAGTGTCTATTACGGCCCTCTCTCTTCACTTGCTTTACAGACTGTAATCATTAGTCTGTGTGTTTATTTACGTATTGTCTCCCCCCCTGTGTTTCTGGCAGGCATAGCTCCTGGCATGGATAGACACTCCATTAGAAGTTGTAGGATAAATGAACGAATGAATGAATGAACTAGAAAACAAAAGAATACCTTAGTTCTTCTTCAAATAAATGTCTGCCAAAAAGCTTACACTTGCCCAAGTGATTTTGTTAAAATTACATAATCCAAAACTTTACTTTGATCCAAAAGCCTGAAAATTAAGAGTGTGTCTTCCCAGGTCTTTTTTCTACGTGTTATAGATATATGTACATGTGGTACCTATATGGGATCCCACTTTGATTTAACTATTTTATATGATATATATATTCTATATGGTCTCTATATGATATTATACACATGTCCACTAATATACATTATCCCCCCAAAAATACTGAAATATTTTTCTGCAATTTTCTGATTTAACCACATACCGTGAAAGTCTTTCCCCACTACCACATGTAGATCTGTCTCATGTTGTTAACAACTACATATTATTTTTCAAAAATAAAAATAAAAGTACTCACTCTTAGTGAGATATTTAAGTGGTCTAGGAATGGCAAGCAGAAACCACTGGATCACAAGCACCTCTTCCCACCATTACCACACCTCATAGGCCAGAAGGATTTCATGTCCAGATGAGGGTGAGTGAGGGGGTATTCATGAATGGGCAGGAGAGCACAGGAGTGGGGTGGGGTGGGACAGGCTCATGTAGAGGCAAGAAAGGTGGGAGGCAGCAGGATGGGATGGAAAGAAAGGCAACTGGGAAGAAAAGTTAGGGAGCCTAGGGCTGGGTTAGTCAGGGAGAGCAACGAGAGGGTCAGAAAATGGGGACAAGAGGTAGAAGGCAGCCCCGTCAGGGACCGGAAGTCAGGAGACAAGGGGGCTCTTGGAGTAGAAGAGAAACATAATAGAGGCAGCCAATCCACCCCTTGAAGAAGGTGGAAAATCTGTCTCCCAATGGTTTTCCCACCTGGTTTTCCAACACCCAGGAGCATTTGCCTGTTTCCGAGTGAGACGTGTTTATCTCCATTCTGGAGTCTCAAAGTTCAAAACAAACTTCCAAACAAAGGGACCCTCCGCTCTGTGGTTTTCAGCTTCATTCTCTTGCAAGGACAGAGCCAAGATTCGGCTTTCCTGATGACTTTCACAGCCAATTCCACTGAACATCCCACCCCCAGCTTCCTTCTGCGTCTTTCCTGGCTGCCTCCAATTGTTGTGGACATCCTCACGGGCTTAGTTTTTTTAGCTCTTTTTAACTCTTTTCTTCCTATCTTTATAATTATGCGAGGAAAATAAGATTATTTTCCCAACAGAAGCAATTTGGGGCTTTTAGAGTGGACCAAAGTTCTCTCCCAAGAGCTGAATTCATCAGCATCGAGTTATAGATATTATTTAAAAGAACCCTAGAGGAGAAGAACCTATCTGTTAAGCTCCCTGCAGTTGGAAAATTCTGAGACATATTTTCATGGCCATCACCCTATGGAAAAGCCCACCAGGTTTACATAAATAGAAAATGACAAGACTGTCTCTGAGGGTAGGTGTAAGTGGGGGATGATACTAACAATCTGCACACATCATCTTCTTTTGCTAAGCATTACACTGAGTATTTTAATACACACAATAATCCATGAGGCAGGTACCATATCATACCCATTCTACAGATGAAGAATTTGAGGCTCATAGAGTATCTCACCTAAGGTCACACAGATACTAACTGATGGAGCTGGGACTGAAAATCAGCCAGGCTGGAAACAGCTTCTGAGCTCTTAACCAAGCTACCACTGGGTTTACCTAATTCATGCTTTGCTAACTTAATTATTGTCTACCAATCCTCCCCCAAGTAGGAGTTACACTCCAGGAGAGCATGTCCTTGTCTGTCCTGTTGTATCCCTAGCTGCCAGCACAGGGCCTAGCCCAAAGTAGACCCTCAATAAATGATTACTGAGTGAATGAATTAATGAATGAATACTATGTTTTTATTTGACTATGTCCTGTAATCTAAAAAATTCTGAACACTGAGGCTTTGGGTGATACTTAAATATGTTCATCCAACAGTCCTATTAATTTTAACCCATTTAACTTACCTGAGCTTTCTCCCAGAAAAAAAAAAAATATCTTTTTCCAAGCATCAGAACCTGGCAAGTTACACGAAATGTAGGAATTGAATAAGGAATCCCAATCTGAAAATGTAAAGAGAAAATGTAAATTTAAAAGATCCTTTGGAATCATATAAATATGTATTAATCACTTACAAAGCTGTTCTAGGCCCCTGCCTTTTTCAGTAGCGAAAAGTGGGCTGTGAATCACCTGGGATACTTATTTAAAATGCAGAGCAAGGGCGCCTGGGTGGCTCAGTCGGTTGAGTGTCTGCCTTCTGCTCAGGTCATGATCCCAGGGTCCTGGGATTGAGCCCTGCATCAGGCTCCCTGCTCGGCGGGGAGCCTGCTTCTCCCTCTCCCTCTCCCTGCTACTCCCCCCTTCTCATGTGTGCTCTCTCTGTCAGATAAATAAATAAAATCTTTAAGAAAAAAAAAATGCAGAACAAGAAAACCAGGAGCCTGGAAATCTGCATTTTGCAGCCATCTCCCTTATAAACAAAACTTTGAGGCCCACTGTGAGGAGGTGAAGGTTATTCCCCTCCATTGAAAAGAAACCCTAACAAGCTATCAAAATGTGTTTCAAAACCAGTGACCCTCCGATGTGTCTCAGGATTCCTGAAGCACAGTCACATCTAGGGATCATGAGCCATAACAATTTTTTTAACCCCGTGTAAGGCAGAAACATTGTATTTATCTACAAAATATTCTTTCCCCATTTTTAAGAAGGTGGTTACCTGCCCTTGCCCTAACATCCAAGACTCTTGTGCACTGAGTCACTCTTATATGGAAGCAAGCTAGTAGTGAGAGGATCTGGTCCAGTTCTGCCGCAACATGAGGTGTGTCCAAGGGCAGGTAGCTCAGCCTCTGTGACCTACTGTTTCCCTCTCTATACGTCCGGGGTGGGAGTGTTCACAACATTTTGATTCTACACATGCTCGAACCAGAGTCATTCTAAGGACAGGGATCATGGAGTCTCCCGGTCTTGTTTGGCTATACTCAAAAGTCATGCTTCTGTGACCATGAATTAGGTTCAGAAGGTGAGAGGGTAAGTAGTCAGGGGAATGTAAAGAGCCCTACCCCACTGAATTCATCATGACCAAAAAATCAGAATATAGGTTTCTGTAATACACACCTACAAGAGCTAATTACAAAAATAATAATAACAATACTTTGGACAAGAGTCAGTCGGCCCTACGAAAACTGGGAGAACCAGTGAGGTTGAGTCGTGAGGCCACATACCGGCCTTTGCCTCATATGGGGAAGTATCTCAAGGCAGGGATTCCTAGACCTGCCACTCTGAGGGCTACACAGTTTTAGATCCAGAAAAGACCTGGTGCATTCTATCAACAAATGTTTATTGGTACCTACAGTGTGCCAGGCACTGTTCTAGGTATGGGGGGCCTGTGGTGAACCCTACTGACAAGACCCATACTCTCACCGAGCTAACATTCTAGCTGGGTAGGGAGATGAAAAACAATTGCCCCAAATGAATCAGTGATAAGGGGTATAAAGGGGGAGGTAGGGATACAAGTGAAGACGCTGGAGGAACCCCTAACGTCTCACCCACTCGGTCCAGCCGCCACCTTAGACACATGAGGAAAATGAGGCAGAAACAGCAGTGACCTGCTCAAGACCAGAGTACAAGGGAGCTGGTCAGAAGCGGAGTTGGAAGTGAGAACTGTCCTCCTGCAAAGCCCATCTTTCCTTCAGAGCTCCTCCCAATGACGGCTTTACTTTCCTAACACTGTCTTGGCCCATAGACCCCAGCACTGAGGGAGGGGAAAGCAGCGCTCGAGCCCCACCCCCGGCCGGCCCCAGGGCACAAGGGAACCCTCCATCCCGCCATCATACCCCAAGACCCCGGGAGAAGCCCGGAGGGGCGGGGCCTGGCCACGCGCCGGCGCGTCCAGCAGGTGGCGGCAGCGAGCGGCCGCGCCCCCCGCGCTGCCACCCCGCGAGCCCGCATCATGGATGTCGGGCTCTCCTATTTCGCTTTGCTCGCCTTGGAATTCGAGACTCCAGACGAGGACCAGGATTCATGAGCCGGTCGCAGGGGCCCAGGCAGGGGCCTCTGGCTCCCGACGCTGGCCGAGAGGTGGGTCCCCGGGGCGGTGGCTGCTCCCGAGGCCGGGCGGGGACGCGCTGCCCCCGCCCTGCCTCCCCGTGGTCCACACCCCCTTTGGGCTCCCGAGCCGCGGGGCTGGAGTAGTCGGGGGTGCGCGCGGGCCGGCGCTGCCAGCCCCGCTTCTGCCGGGCGCCGGGAGTCCAGGGGCCGCGGGACCCGGCGCGCGTGTCCTCCCGCCGCCGCCTCCTCCTCCCTGCTCTCACCTGCGCCTGTTAGTCCACTCGCCTTCAAGGCCAGTGGCTGCAGCGCAGACTGCCGAGGGGACGGCAGAGGGAGAGAGAGCACCTGAGGATACAGAGCTGGCACTGGACTGCCTTTTCACCCCCCAGGTGATGAGTGAGGTCGGAAGATCGCAAGATTTAAAAAAGCAACCGGGTCCTCCGTATTGAATGAAAGACCCAGTGCAAAGGCATCACCATGAACACGAGCAGTAAGTGGGTCCTCCTCTCCTTTGCCATGGGAACAGGGTGGGGGCGGGAGGTGCAGGAGCCTGCGCTGGGGCTGCCTGGAAGGAGGAAGGAAGCCTGGCATCGCGGTGGACACACGGCTCCCAGACTCCTTCTTGGTCCTTTCTGTGCTCCCCAGAAGAGGGATGTGGGTCCGGCTTTCCATGACAGTTTTGCTCGTGTTCTATTGGCAGCAACACTTGCCTCTGCGGGGAAGGCTGCTTGTCTCCTTCGAGCAAAGCCTGGGAAGGCCTAGGAAGCACTACCGTGGCCATTGTCTGACTGTGGGGGCTCTGAGGAGACCTCCTGGCACACAGCTGGAGAGCCATGGAGGGCCTGGCTTGTCCTGTAGCTGGGAGGAGCAGGGAGGCTGGCCCTGGGGCTTGTGGTGGGTGGATGTGGGCAGGCAGTGGGCTGGGAGCGAGCAGTTTGATAAACAAATCACCAGGAAGCCACCTTTGGGTCTAGAGATTGTGAAATATCCTCTGCCTGCAGCCCCATGGGCCTGGGGCTGATTTCTCCACACACCTACAGGCTGGGTGGCCATCCTGAGAAGAGAGGAAAGGAACAAGCCCTTTGGCCAAGATCGCTAACATGCCAGAGGGAGCAATTGCTTTGAAGAGACAGGACCAGACATTTTGCTGCTGGGCAGGGCCTCAGCTGCTGAGAAATGCAGGCAGAAATACAAGGAGGCCCCGTCCATTTCTCTTCAGTGTAGTCCCTTTGACCGCGGGCACCCACTGTGACCAGCACCCTGGAGAGGAGGTCTGGGTTCAAGTCCCCCCCGCTCCGGCCTCCTCATCAGCTCAGCTTGTCTGGGTCCTTCCAGTAGCGGGTGGGATTGTCGAAGCAGAGAACCCTAGGAACATTTGGTTCCCTGGGTTTGCGGCTTTCCCGTCAGTCTCCTCTCTGGATCCCAGACTGCTGATCTGTAAAATGAGAAGGGTTGCATCTAAATCTGTAAGTTTCTTCTTAAAAAGCTAGAGCTGAACAGCAAGGCCAGAAAAACCCGTACCTTCTGAGGCTGGGTCCAGACCAAAGCCACTGTTTCTCCACCCTGCCTCCATTTCAAGGCTGTTGGCATGGAGGGGAGGAAAACAAAGCAAACGCCAGGGAGATGGAAATGAAATATATTTATTTACTATGTATTTGTATGACTCATCTCTCTGCTGTCCTCCTTTGTGTATCGCATAGCTCTGCTAAGCAAGTGTGGCTGAACTCCCTCTGCCTCTTCCAGCCAAAGAATTTTTCCTCTTGATTTTGACAGTCAGGAACGGTACTTTGGCTTCACACCAGGCTCCAGAAAAGAGCAAAATTCTGTAGACCTGATCACCTAAGTGGGCCACATGTTTGCCTCCTCATGCTTTCAGAGAAGTAAAGATGTGAGCTGCCTGTCACTTCTCACTATCTCCAGGGGAAAGATGTATTTATGGGAGTCCTTTCTCACTAAATGATAGGAGAGAAAGATGGCTCATCTATTTTTCAAGAAACTAAGAAATAAGTTCACAAGCGGCTGGCCCTGCCCTTTTCTCTTGTCCCATTAGTAACACCGAATATTACTGAAAGAAGGAAACAGCTTTTACTTTTTTTTTTTAAAGAAATAACAACCAATAGAGTTGAATACCACAGAAGATGAGGACTAACAAAAATGCGATTCCAGCCTCATACACTTTTTCTAAGTAGGGAGAGAGTGTTTATTTTCCAGGAGTAGTGGAAAATAAACAGAGTAGAATGACTTGGGCAGCCACTGAGGTCCCATAAGAAGAAGTGCTTCTCTAAGGGAACAGTTTGGCCACTCGTGCTCAGGGCTCAGGGGAGGGGTTCCATCGTCCCTGAGGTTGCTCCCAACCCTGAGAGTCCGCAAATGGAGAGAATAGAAATCAGACCTCACATGAGTGAAGCAATGACAAGGTCATAAGGTTATAGGGACTGGGCGTTGGCAGGAGCAAAAATGCTCTCCCCTTTGGGATTTGAAATTCTTACTTAATCCTCATGAACCTAAGAGACACTCTCACTCAGTTTTTCTCTCCCTTCCATGTATTGGGTCCTCACCCTCCACCAGTCACTGTGCCCAGCATTGCACCTGTATGATCTCCCCAACTGTCACCCCCAACCTGGGAGATGGTGTTACTACTCCAATTTCATGGGTGACAGCTCGTAGCCAATAACATTCACTAACTTCTTCAAGCCATACAGTTAGCTGTTGGATTATGAAAGGTATTTGGATGCATTGCGTTTTAATAGTGTGCATCATTCCTAATCAATGGTTCAGATGGCACCCCTGAAGTGAGGGCAAAGCATGAGAAGATGATGAAGTGATAATCGCTTCATCTGAGCAAGATGATTCGGGGCTAAGGTCTCAGGGCAGCGTGTGAGAGCTGATAGGGCTCAGGCTCTCGGCTCAGCTGGTCCCAGGTTCGGGTCCTCATCTTTCACTTGTTAGCTGTGCGGTCTTCAGCATGGTTGTCTTACTTGGAAAATGGGGATGATAGGACACACCTCGCGTGAAATGGAGAGAAATATTAACATGGCATGCCAAATACAGAGTGTGGTGCCTGGGCCATCGCTGGCGTCGTATCAGGCTGTTCTTGTCACCCCAGTGGTCATTGTGGTGGTTGTCATTGTGGACTCTATGTCATCAGCCAGCAGGTCCCTCAGCCTCTCAGAGGCTGGTCATAAATTGAGGATACCAGAAGTGTGATTTTGAGGATTAAGCGGGATCAGGAGAAAATGCTTTGTACACAGATGTGAATTGTTTTTAATCGTAAGTGAGACACGCATGGCTCAGATGGTAACACCAGGGGAGTGCTCCATCGGCCCCTTCTCAGTGCACTTCTAGTGTCTTTGGAATCCTTACCTCCAAAATCTAGCTGAGCTTCAGTACACCGCAGAGCAGGACTTTGAGAGGAAGGGGTAATTCTGGGGATGATGGAGTCGGGTGGTATGAGGGAACGTCCCCTGATGTATGCTGCCCGTGCGCCCTGGCTCTGTTCCTTCGGAGCCTTGTCTGTCATCCCTCGCTCGTCCATGGGACCGCTGGCCACTTTCCCGAACCCGCCCAGCAAGGAAGGAGCTGACACCAGACCAATCACTTTCACACGCCCCTGGAGCCACGGAGGCACCACCATCTAACGTGCAACAATAAATTTTAGGCAACAGTGAATCTTTGGTTATTCCCTGTCGGTGTCTCCCATTCCCAGGTTGGCCCCAAGAATTCCCAAGCCTCCTGGTCCAAAGCCAGGGGAAACTGAGTTTACCCCAGGCTCCAGAGGCCCTGAGCTCCAGAGTCGATTCTCTGTCCCATAAAATTTCATTCTCCTCACAAGTCAGAACACCCAGAGCTCCTGCGAGTTGCGGCTTTCGTAGGCACAGAGCTCATCCTTCAGCTTGGGGAGCATCACATGCACCACGCACGGTTGTGCCAAGAGCCATCCTCCTTTATTTCATTGGCCCTTCCTGTCCTCTGACCCTTTCCTTGGTCTCTGTCATGGACTGGCATGCCAAATGGTTACTGTTTTGGAGTAGACTGTTGTGCTAAAAAGAGCATCGAAGGTTCCTATCACCCTTATCATGAGATAAGCAGACACCATCCTGGAGCTTTAAGACCCTGAGCTTGGGGGTATGGATTCCTGAGTTCAAATGTAAGATGTATGGTGTACTCTGTGATCTTGGACCAGATAGCCACGTCTCTGAACCTGAATGTTATCACGTATAGAATGCGAATGATAATGCCAAAGTGCAGGGTTGTTGTGAGGATGAAGAGAAATAACGTGAGAAGCTCACTGGCCTCGGTCCCGGGGGATGGAGTTGAATCTCAAATTGAATTGGCCACAGAGCAAAGTTCTGAAATGACAGGATCAGAAGAACCAAACCGTCTGGTTGAAAGTGAGCATGTTTGGCCATTGTTGTAGCTATAGCACTCGGTTCTGTTCATAGAAAGCCATAGCTTCCTGAAGGAAACCTTCGGGAAGATTATTAACCCGGTATTGTATAGGGCATGGCTGGAAAAGGGCAAGACAGGAAGTTAGGATCCTAGCTGAGAGACAATCACCCTGGTTCAGAAAAGGCCTGAGGGCCAGGATTTTGGTGGTTGTAAGAATAGAGATCGGGGGAAAGATCTTTTAGAAAATAAGATCTGGGGCGCCTGCCTGGGTCAGTCGTTAAGCGTCTGCCTTCAGCTCAGGTCATGGTCCCAGGGTCCTGGGATCGAGTCCCGCATCGGGCTCCCTGCTCCGCGGGAAGCCTGCTTCTCCCTCTCCCACTCCCCCTGCT